GTTCACATTCGTGAGTCTCATCGTGGCAGACAACAATAGAACGGACCTCATGGGGCTGCACTCATCAGCTTACCGTGCGTGTTCATACCATAACATTCACTTGCAGCAGAGAGCAGTCATTATTTCGCTGGTGAGTTCGTGGTCATGGGCAGATCCTTTTGAGCCTTGTCTGCTTTACTTTAATGTCGATTCTCAGAGATCCATAATCTGATTTTCTTTTTCGTTTTCATTCATTTTTAAACGACTGTAAACTGTTGATGTTATTGTTGAATAATCCTGTCAGTTATGTTGAAAAAAGCTGGAGAAATATTTGAGTGAACTCCTTTATATTACTGATCTGCTAGCAATTAGTGCTGTTCTCATTACCAGTGAGTGCTAGATACGGTTTCCTGTAAATATTGTTTCGCGTGTAAAATAAGGACAGTCGAGCTCTTGCTTCCTATTTGTTGTTTTTTGTTAGTGATGAATTGTTCCTGTATTGTCTCCGTTCTCACTGATTCTTTTATTCGGGGGGGGGGGGGGGGGGGGGGGGGGGGGGGGGGGGGGGGGGGGGGGGGGGGGGGGGGGGGGGGGGGGGGGGGGGGGGGGGGGGGGGGGGGGGGGGGGGGGGGGGGGATGCCTGACACCGCACTCAATAACAAAACCTTTTGCTCATTTTTATCACGTCTCTTTCAAAGACACACAGTTACTCTACACCACATAGGGATGTATGAGACTATCAACCCCCCAACCCCCCCCCCAGCTGTCGACGTTGTCGTAGGTCCCCTCCAACATGCCAGTGAATGCAGATACAGGACGTGAACACGTCAATTCCTCCTGCCTCCGCCTTACACTTTTGCGGCGCAATATCCCGTCCTCATACATCCGTCGTAAGCGCGCGTGTCGGGTGCGGCTCCTTGGCACTTTTGCCAAGTCCTTTAATTGCGCTTTCAATACAAGTAAAACGCAATTTCCTGATGCGGATAACACTGGAAGTGCTGCAAAGTAAGAACAGAAGATGATGACGAGGGTCAGAACTTAAAAGCAACTGTGCCACTTCTGCAACATCCCTCGGAGGCCGCGTATTTCCACGAAACATGAAAATAAAAACGGCATACTCGTTAGTTTGATACAAGCAAAACGCAATTTCTGATGATGCGAGTGAAATTTGAGGTAATTACTTCAATGCTTCAAAATCCATGTACAAGGAGATGAAGATGACACAGGCTAGAAATGAAGCACAACGATGTAAATGTAAATAAAACAAAAATGAAAAAATCAAGGAAAGGCAAATTAGTTAAAATCGCCTGTAAATTTCTACGATCCGGCGCGAATCCGGCGCCAAAGCCGTAGAAATACTTAAAACAAACGAGTGGGACGCTTGGGTTGTTTTTATTCTCATGTTTTGTGGGAATGCGCGGCCTCTGATGGATACTGCAGATGCAGCCGAGTTGCTCTTGAGTTCTGGCCCTTGTCATCATCTTCTGTTCTTATTTTAGCACCTCCAATGTTATCCGCATCAGGAAATTGCGTTTTACTTGTATTTGAGAGCGCAATTAAAGGACTTGGCAAAGTGCCAAGGAGCCGCACGCGACACGCGCGCTTACGACGGATGTTATGAAGGACGGGAATCTGCGCCGCAAAAAGGTGTAAGGCGGAGCATGGAGGAATTAGCGTGTTTCACGGTCCTGTATCTCCATTCCTGGGCATGTTTGGGCGGGGGACCACGACACATCGACAGCTGGGGGGCTGATAGTCTCATACACCCTCAATGTGTTTTGAGCGTACCATGTGTCTTTAAGTCCTGCTTTTTTTTTTTTGGTCTTCGCATCGAAATAGGTATTAATTACAACAGAGCCCTGCTCCTCGGCCCATCCGTTCCCAATTCTACCCCACCGTAGTCCTGCCCTTGATGAAAGTATCTGTTGAATGAAACCTCTACGAAGGGTTTATATTCGGCTCGCGGAAGGAGATGTATGTCTCACTCACCAGGAAAGGTCAACAGGTCAGCCCGGCCATATACAATGAGATGCACATCATTGTACTCATCTTGACACGGTGAACTCGAAACTATCTTCAAAATTTGCGGAACGATTCTCTGAGCGGAGTTACGGAGGTTTTTCTTTACCGTTTTTCTTCTTCCAGGCGCGCTGGCGCCGAAGCGTTGGCACCTGTAGTGCGACTCGCAGCGCTCTTCGCGCAAAATAGGTGTCATATTTGTGTTCAGGGGGTCAAATAACCCCTAGAGACGTCATTTTAGCGAAATCTGAGTTTCTGACTCAACTTCGAAAAAATGGGGTATGGATAGTCATGGCTAACTGATAGCCAAAAGCCATACTGCGACCAGCACATTGAAGATGACTAGTCTTCGTACTGAAATAACTCTTAAGTCATGTCTTTTCGCAACAACAGTAGCTGGCTTACCTATTTGTGCCGTTTTTCTGATTACCGGTAGGAATTCAATCCCGAGACCAGTCATCGATGGTAGGTGAGCTCGTAACTGCCGCTTATTACCCATGGAATAACTCACATTTTCCAAGTTAGGTCGAAATATCAAATTCGGCTAGGAACTTGTTCCCAGAGGTAATTTGACCCGCTGAACACGATTATTCCCATATGGGATTTTTATTATATTGCAAAAACCCTTGCGACATGTACTACAGGGGGGGGCAAGCACAAGCACTCTTCCAGGCCACAATGGGTCTACACTTTCGAAAAAAACTGGTCGCAGTTTCCTTACAGGATAGTGCAGGTGAGCAGAGGTGTTAGAAGCTTCGGCCATGTTCTTGGACAAATGCAAAACAAACGCCCTGCCGAGAACCGATCCTACAGCGTCTCGCCTAGTAAACCAACTCGCTATCCGCTGCGCTCTACTGCCACGTTTCAAGTGGACTCCATACGTATATGTAAAGACGCTTCCACGTTTCCTCGCGATAGCATGTGAAACACCACGCGGGGATAAAACCCTCCATAACTCCGTTCAGAGAGTCGTTCCGCAAATTCTGAAGGTAGATTCGAGTTCACCGTCCCAAGACTCGTACAACGGTGTGCACCTCATTGGAAATGGCCGGGCTGACCTGTTGACCTTTCCTGGTCAGAGGAGTCAGTAGTCAGCAAACTTGTAACAGGTGAGTGCAAGACAGAAAAAAAGTTGGAAGCGGAGCCGCGGTTTCTATTTTTGCCTCATTGGCAATAGTTTTGTGTGAACAAAGTTATGTTCTTTATAGTGGCGGCGACCTGCTCGCAGTAGCTGGTTTCCTCCTTGCCAGGAAAAAATCCTCAGCGGCCAATTTTGTTAAAAAAAAATAGATTTTCATGAGCGATTTTGTGATGCTTACAGAGGAGAAGTCTTTTACTTTTCAGCGCTGGTTTTTGTTTAGACCTGGATTCTGTATCACTCTAATTATGATTCCTGGAAGTTTGAAGACTCACGTGCTCAATTGATTCCCATCATTAAATCGGAAAAATCCTCCACGGTAAAATTTTTCGAATAAAGGGCTTTCACGAACTTACCACTAGTGGGGAAATAGTAGCTTTCTGGTATTAGTATTGCCCTAGGTCCTGTACTGTCGAAGTCCCTGAAAGGAGAAAAATCGCGCGCTCAGGAAAATTTCATTGTTGATTCTTATGTGTAGCCGTGGGACCTTCTTCGAGACGAGTTCAGTACCAGATTTGCACGGATGGGCAGAACTTGTACAATGGGTGGCTACCGCAAATCATTGCCTGGTCATTGTCTCCGCAAACTAGAGGGCGTGCTTTGGAGCACAGCCATGGCAGTCACTTCCACCAGTGGTAATCCCGCAACACATAGTGGAAAGAGCTTTTCTGGCTGAGTTAGTCCCCTTCGCACGCTCTCTCATTTGCAGGGATAATTATTGTACTAGATAAGTCACGTTCAAAATGCCACTGTGATCTGAGTCAAAGCAGATCGTAGTCCGCATAGAGACAAACTGTGCACTCGCCCCCGTGGATCCTTGTCCCTTTGCTATATATGTATAACGTGAATGGGTCTGCTGTTGCAGTAGTATATCACTTTCTTCGCCCAAAAGTACACGGGAGCGGCGCTCAAGGGTAGTGATGTCCGGATGCCGTTCCTATATCTGCCGCACGGCCAGCACACCCCTCGAAACATTGTCCAAACGCTGCTGTGTCTCTGTCTCGTCTGCACCGTGTCACTTCTGGTTGTTCTCTACCGCTGAGTGCGTGTCTCGCAGCAGGACTTTGGTGCCATGCGCTGCACGTTTGGGATAGCACGGGCGTAGCACGAAGAAGGCACCAGGGCCTCATTACCCTCCCGTGCGAAGAAGAAGGCGTGCCACGGCAGCTGTGAAACCTCTCGCACATGGCAAGAGCTGTCCCCGTAGGTGAGTGTGCAGTTTGTCTTCAACGTAAAATAATTTATTCTTTACTTCATCGGTTCCGTAGTGCATTGACAGGCAAACTCAAGAATAACCAACCATTATAAGCCCAAAAAAAATCGAACAAGATCCACAAAAAAGTTGGATCGTGTATTCGTCTCTGTGAAAACCACTAAACCGGGCAGTTGAATTTATTTTGTGATATGGCATATATTTTGAAATTAGCAGTAAAAGGTAAAAGGAAAAGCAAGATGCTTCCGAACAAGAGCGTTCCGGCTGAATTCACTCGGCGAGTTTTTTGTGGTGTGGCATAAGACCTTTGAAGTACTTGACGGTTTTCACCTGGAATATGAGCTCACTAAGTAAGAATAATAACTATACAGATGGTAAACACACATTTAACAGTAAACGGCAGATACCCATAACCAATGGGCCTTCCTTTGGTGCGCTGGGTCGACCAGTTCCCCGGTCCTACAGGGGCTACACGAGCAACGTGGAACAGGCCTCAAGGTTAATGTAGGCTCAGGTGTGTCTCATGTTCACCGTAATCTATGAATTGTATTTTTTTGACATAACAAATGGGGTCTAAGAAAACGGATATGGATTGCCGAATAATTTGGACTTTTGAGAGAATCAGTGATAAGGAGAGACGTCAGCTACATTGATGGGCAGGAGTGTACTCTCTAGAGCACTCACAAATGTGGTTCAGTGCGCTTTCCCGCTAGTGCTCTCTCTCCGCCCTCGTACAGTGTGGACTGTGCCTTTGACGTGAAACTGGACTGAAGGACAGGCAAAGTTCACACTGCCCACGAATTTTCATCCGCCTCACAGTAGAACTCATTTTTTTTTTTCACATAACGTTCATAACTTACTTTTAGTTCCAATGTGGCGTCATCATCGGCGATGAACATCGCTTTTGGGTGCATCTGGAAGGCGCTCACGGTCCACATATGGCTTATACCACACTCTATAGCATGGTGAAGTGCTAACGCTTTATGAGAGCCAGTGACCAGAATCATCACCTGAATAGAAACCTTGAAGAGAGCCGCATTAACTCGTAGTCAACTCGTAGCAAAGGTGAAACCACGTTAGTGGTCGCACGCAGAGTGACCTCTGCAATATCAAACTGGGCCCACTTTACTCTTCCAAACGGATATGTGTGTTACATGTCTCTCTCTACGGAAACACGCGATGGCCAGTGGAAATACAAGGGGGAGTGGGGGGGAGATGGACAATGTTGCAGGACAAAGCTTGAAATGAGTTGGGTAGAAATCGTACAGAAAAGCGGTATCCTCACCATTAGAAGGTTCCAAGTGCACAAAAGTGTGCGCCTGAGAAAATGCAACTCTTTCTCAACCAGTAAAGTGAACGGATAAAAAAGGCCGAGTAGGCCATGCCTTTTTCTATGGTGGTCAGAGTTTCTGCGAAGCTGCGCCCACTAAACGGATTTTGGAGAGGCGTTGAAAATGTGATTCACATAGTACTGCAACCTTCCAGCTTTACTACTTCGCACTTCCTGGTACTACTTTTCCGCAGCGTCCATAGAAAAAAAATGATCGACTTCGCAGATAAGCGTTCATTTATCATTTAGACTTATCGTTCCGATCGTGTCTGACACCAGATGGCCGCAAGAATGGAAGCCTCAGTTCGCGTCAGATGTCCTTCGGCAATTGTACCACTTAGCTGTCTTTCAAAACTGGATAGTAGCTAGTGTGAGTGTTATCATAACAGATACGCAAGGCTTCAGCCTTCATGGCCGGTCTCTTAGTGTCAGCTGCACAATGGCACATGCTGTTGTTCTCCGTGGGTCAGGATTTCGGCCGGTTCCCGTGCCGGTCGAGTCTTCCACCACTCCGTTCGTGCCTTTTCTCTATTGACTTTCGAGGAGCTATAAGTTAACTTTATTAAATTCTGGTCGGACATTTTCACCACCACATTAAAGAGCATATCAATACTATCACGAGGAGGATATTCTTCACGAGTTGCCCAATGTAACCGCCAGCGCTCACCTTCAGTCCGGGGTCCACGAAGAAAATATTGGTCTTTCCATTCCAGGTACGTCCGGTCCATACCATCAACCCGCGCCTTGGCGACTGTGGTGAAGATGATGTCCTAGACCGTGGCGACGTTGTCGGAGCTGCTCGATGTTGGAGGTCTTCCAGATCGAGAGTACTGGTCTCCAGGTAGCTATCCATGGGTGACTCCATACTAGAAGTTTCGCAGCTGTTTGGAGGTGACATGAATTCCAAAGGTCTTCTCCAGTCAGGCTGCGAGATGACTTCATATTTTGGTGTACATGAAGGTGATGGGCGAGAGCCAGCTCCTGCTTATAGAGGAACATCTTGGGTATCTTCCGCCCTGGTACTCGTATCCACGTCCTCTGTCTGGGCTGCGAAAACTTTGCTGATATGTGACTCGGTCGAAGTGACTTTTTTTGCCCCCCCCCCTGTAGTGGTTGCTGCTGCGCTTTTGGTGAGACCTTGTCCTTCGGGACAAATCTAATCATGTCTTTGTCCAGCATGAGACAGGATGACAGTTGTCTCAAATTGAAATATCCCATGAAAAGCGCTTCCTATACGCAATGTTCAGATGAAGTACGCGACGCACTCTCCCATCTCTTGGATATATAGTATGTGTACGCAACATGCATGTATATCTGCAGCACTGACCTCTCTAGCATCCATCACTGTTTGAACACCAACCGTTAATGCTTGTGTTGGTACCATAGACATATTGCCACCAAAAAATCGCGAGTTAGCCTGTAATGACAACGAGATTTAAACGAAATTCTAAGCCTTTGGAGAAAAGAGGAAACGATAAAGCACTTTAAAGGCACTTTCCGCGATAAAATAAGGCTATGACCTTTCAAATGTGTCAGACGATCCGGAAGGAGATTGCGGAGGCTGCGCTACCTTTAGAAAGTGAAAATCGGCAAGAATTCCGCTTTAAGCTAACCAATTAGGCCCATGGGCGCCCCTTAGGCCCATGCCGACCCCACCGGCTGCTAGCTACTAGC